ACACACAGTAGTCTTAATGACCCATCAACATAATAATGTCAGACATAACACACAGTAGTATTGATGACCCATCAACACAATAATGTCATACATAACACACAGTAGTCTTAATGACCCATCAACACAATAATGTCATACATAACTCACAGTAGTCTTAATGACCCATCAACACAATAATGTCATACATAACACACAATAGTCTTAATGACCCATCAACACAATAATGTCATACATGGCCACACGCTAGTCTGAATGTCAAATCAACAAAACCAGCACATACTAGTTAAAACATGTAAACTTAAGATGTGTCAAGAGTAACACGAGAGTAATAAAATAATCGCGAAAAAAATGATAAATAAATGACCTGTTGCAATTTGTCTTTAATAGGCAGAGAGCATAAGAAACAAAACAATATTTGAAGGAACCAGCTCCCTCGCACCCACCCACACAACATAAGTCGCCTCTCAGATCATTCATACCCACATTAAGCACATCTCATAACATTCAGACCCGCATTAGCCGCCTCTCAGATCATTCAGACCAGCATAAGTCACCACTCATATCATTCAGACCCACATTAGTCACATCTCCGATCATTCAATCCTACATTAGTCACCTCTCAGATCATTCAGACCCACATTTGTCACTTCTCAGATCATTCAGACCCACATTAGCCGCCTCTCTCAGATCATTCAGACACACATTAGCCGCCCCATATAATTCAGACCCACATTAGACCCCTCTAAGATCATTCAGTCCCACATTAGCCGCCTCATATAATTCAGACCCACGTTAGCCGCCTCTAAAATCATTCAGACCCACATTAGACACCTCTAAGATCATTCAGACCCACATTAGACACCTCTCAGATCATTCAGACACACATTAGCCGCCTCATATAATGCAGACCCACATTAGCCGCTTCTCATATAATTCAAACCCATATTAGCCGCCTCTCAGATCATTCAGACCCATTTTAGTCGCCTTTTAGAGCACTCTGTCAACCACCTCACAGAGTAACCTCTCAGCTTATTAACGAACAGACAGGAAAGTCTGGTCTTATTTCATCCACAATTCACACATCAATTATTTTTTAGTTTACGTGTATTCTTGTTATTCTGTTACGAATACTTTAAATTCCAGAAATAGAAATAGAAATATGCAATAGAAATGGGTTTTTTGTTTGTTATTGAATTAGATTTAAATTGGAAATAACAATGAATAGTCTATGTATCTTTATATTGAAACAATTGGTTTTTATTCAGGTTTCGGTTTCACTAGGACTTCAGGAAAACTGAATTATTATTTGACGATGAAAAAGTCAGTTCGAGAAAACAGATTTTGAACGTATGTTTTTTCACAAAAATAAAATACGAAAGTTTACAAGTAATTTCTGATTTCTGTATGAAATATTAAATAATTACTGCATAAAAAGTCCCATACCACGTGTGATAACTTTCTTTTGGGTAACCATAAGTTGGAATTGTTTCTCGTAGGTACCCAAAGTGACAAACACGCCTGCCATCTGGCGGCCTTTTCGATGACCCATATTCACCGATAGCGCGAGGATGGACCTGGGCGTAACAACCGTAAACAGATTTGAATGAAATTTGAATTTTATGAATGAAGGTACGGTACAATGGGAACCTCTGTGTTCATTGATAAAGAGCTGTCGCTTTTAAATCTGACGTCGACTGATTGAGTGAAACATGGTGTGATTTTGACCTTGAATGCGCGCGCACTTTTCTTACACAAATGCTAATTGACAGTCAGCTGGCTGTAAACGGACTCGTTCATTTTCGAGAAATTATTTTATAATCAAATAATGAAATGTATTAACAATGAACAAAGGAACGCAACAGATTAAAATCTAACTATAATTGTTATCTAAGTCCGTGTTATCTAAGTCCGTGGAAATACGAAGCGTATAGACAGCAGTGCATCTAATTGGAACAGATATTAATCAATTTTGACAATATCAAAGAAAGAAGTCACAATAAATCAGGGAAATATGGACAGAAAAGTGTCAACTAATCTGTGCTATTTATCTATAATCAAAGTAAATGTTTCCTAAAGAGTATTTATAGACATCACTGATAGCGGAATCCATACTTTGGAGATTATCAAAGATTACTCCGAGATGAAACCTGTCAACAGTACCGTTACAATGCAGCGCGATTGTTTGTTATCGTTCATCAAAGCACTACTTTGAGATCACAGGTATCAGCGATTTTGTTACACGGCAAGTCAATATTGTTTACTTACATCAACTCGCATTATCACCACAAGGAGGCGCATTCATGGACTTTGATTCAAACATAAAAATCTAAAGGTGCTGAGTAGCGGAATCATCGATCTTGGAAGATTCTAGTTCCTCTATTGAACAATAAACAACGGCACACTATTAGAGTGCTTTCAATGCATGCTATGGCAAGAGGCGACCAACGTGGGGCCTTGCCGAATCGGGGAATTTTCTGTTTTCTCGCAAAGTAATTATAAGGGAACATTGGAAAGATATAACTTGATCTGCTGCCCGCATTGCAACACTTGAGATGTATATATCATATATCATTCTTTTCTCTCTTTTCTAATTTTCGGCAGTTACTCCCCAGGTACACATATTCATATAACTTTAGTTGTTGCAAGGAAGTTTAACCCAAATAAACAAGTTTTCGATGTTTCCTCCTTTTCTTTTTTGAGAAATCTGGCAATGTAGTACAAATTTTGATCAATGACATGACAAGCGCGCGACTCCAATTTAAATGATAAAAACTCCAACGATGTTGATTAATTACTACTATTGTGATGTCTTAAAACAAAATTGTCTTCATATGTTTCCTGGTTTTACAAAACTATTTTAAGGATAACGGGTTTTGTTTTTCTGGCTATTATATTCGAAGCCCATGTATGTCAAACTTATCAGAAATATTGTCGTCAAATAATAGGAAGGCAAAATTAGTCTTGCAAAGCTTTTTTAAATGTGCTAATAAGAGAAGGAAAGATGTTTTTCAGTGATGTAACACCTCAAACTGTTTGTAATTCCGTCATTGTCATGTGTGTTCATATCATACTGTTTATATATTATGTCCTGTTCGCACTGTGCATAGTTTACACTGTATTGCATACTAAAGAGCTGTAAAGCTCAAAAGTAAAACGTTTCTGACCTAAAGTCATTTTTCCTAAACAAACACTTCACTATTTTGAGTATCGAAACACACCACAATTGAGTGCGCTTTTACAGTGTACAAGCGGGCTACACCGATACATTAACCACTTATAAAACAAGTAAATACGTGTGGTATGTTAATGATATTTTAAAAGTAGTTTGTACCGATATTAAATCTCAAGTTGACCATACTGACCACTTGAAGTAGACCGCCTACTCAAGTCTTAAAGATGCCGTTAGAAATACATATGTAAACGATAAAATCTCGGATAGTGTCCCTGCTCCCAAAGAGCCTCCGGCGATTATAACGTCATTTATATATTTGAAATAATAAAACGGAAATAAAATGTCCTTGAGTTTTAGGTGTTTATCAATCAATGTCAAACAAATTATCACTTCTCTTTGTGCAGGTAATAGGTTAATATCTTTATTCAGTTTAGAAAGTTTAATGTCCAGAATGATATTTGAGATTTGCTGAAGGCAATCTGTCGCTATCCTACAGTCTTTGTAGTTACTCCGTATAACCCGCCTTTCTCTCTACTATACGTCTTTGATTCTAGATAAAGTAACGTACGGCTTTATTAACTTTGGCCGGATGTTGGGGCCCACGCACCTACGTTTGATAACAATATGCTCCCTAAATACAAAACTTATACCTGTTACAGGTGTGACCATCTGATTAACAAAGATAAATTCGGTTTCGGAGCGGGAAAGATTTCATTCATAAAATTTCATGAATGGCGGAGATTTTACGACACGAAAGGATGGGGCCACGTGGTACTACTGTGCGCGCGCTTGCCAGCTGTCGACTGTCGTTTGCTTTTCTCACGGTTGGTAATCGACACCTGTTGATACGAAGGACTTGAAGTTTATCAATGGCCGTGAGGTTTGATTTGATAATCTAGCCATGCAGGTGCTTGTCAACGTTTTATTACAATAAGAATAATTATGTCGTGTGTTGGAGGAATTTCGTCAACATGAGCCCCCTAAGATTTACTAAGAATTTAAGATTTCTGGTGATAGCAAGAACTGGACCAAGGTGTGGGTTTTTACCTGTCCTCGTTTCATCCATCCGGCACTCGTCACCTGTTGTAGTACCTGACATAATTGTGACACACTTTATATTGGCGGGCAAATACTGCCAGCGTAAACAATCGCCATGTCGCGGTTTTGTAGGGTTAATAAAATAACAAATCATTGGAAATAAAACACTCGGGATTTGTTTGTGTCATTCACGCTTTATCAATATCCATACCCTGACTATGTACAGTCTCCCACATAACATTCCTACCCCTACTATGTACAGTCTCCCACATAACACCTCTACCCTGACTCTGTACAGTCTCCCCCATAACACCTCTACCCTGACTCTGTACAGCCTCCCACATAACACCACTACACTGACTCTGTACAATCTCCCACATAACACCTATACCCCGACTCTGTAGAGCCTCACATATAACACCTCTACCCCACAGCCTCCTACATAACACCTCTACCCCGACTTTGTACAGCCTCCCACATAACACCTCTACACCGACTATGTACAGCCTCCCACAAAACACATCTACCCTGACTATGTACAGTCTTCCACATAACACATCTACACTGACTCTGTACAGTCTCCCACATAACACCTCTACCCTGACTCTGTCCAGCCTCACACATACCACCCCTACCCCGACTCTGTACAGCCTCTCACATAACTCCTCTACCCTGACTCTGTACAGCCTCCCACATAACACCACTACACTGACTCTGTACAATCTCCCACATAACACCTATACCCCGACTCTGTAGAGCCTCACATATAACACCTCTACCCCACAGCCTCCTACATAACACCTCTACCCCGACTCTGTACAACCTGACGCATAACACCTCTATCCCGACAATGTACAACCTCCCACATAACACCTCTACCCCGACTCTGTAGAGCCTCCCACATAACACCACTACACTGACTCTGTACAATCTCCCACATAACACCTCTACCCCGACTCTGTAGAGCCTCACATATAACACCTCTTCCCCGACTCTGTACATTCTCCCACATAACACCACTTCCCCGACTCTGTACAGCCTCCCACATAACACCTCTCCCCTGACTCTGTACAGCCTCCCACATAACACCACTACCCCGACTCTGTACAGCCTCCCACATAACACCTCTCCCCTGACTCTGTACAGCCTCACACATAACACCTCTACCCCGACTCTGTTCAGCCTCCCACATAACCCCTCTACCCCGACGCTGTACAGCCTCCCACATAACACCTCTACCCCGACTCTGTAGAGCCTCCCATATAACACCTCTCCCCCGACTCTGTACATTCTCCCACATAACACCACTTCCCCGACTCTGTACAGCCTCCCACATAACACCACTACACTGACTCTGTACAATCTCCCACATAACACCTCTACCCCGACTCTGTAGAGCCTCACATATAACACCTCTACCCCGACTCTGTACATTCTCCCACATAACACCACTACCCCGACTCTGTACAGCCTCCCACATAACACCTCTACCCAGA